CTGTACTCGGACTGATTCCCAGGCTGGCGGCCATCTCACACCAACCTCCTGCTCTTCTAACTGCAGTCTCAGGATTCTCTACTCTCGACTGTACTCGGACTGATTCCCAGGCTGGCGGCCATCTCACACCAACCTCCTGCTCTTCTAACTGCAGTCTCAGGATTCTCTACTCTCGACTGTACTCGGACTGATTCCCAGGCTGGCGGCCATCTCACACCAACCTCCTGCTCTTCTAACTGCAGTCTCAGGATTCTCTACTCTCGACTGTACTCGGACTGATTCCCAGGCTGGCGGCCATCTCACACCAACCTCCTGCTCTTCTAACTGCAGTCTCAGGATTCTCTACTCTCGACTGTACTCGGACTGATTCCCAGGCTGGCGGCCATCTCACACCAACCTCCTGCTCTTCTAACTGCAGTCTCAGGATTCTCTACTCTCGACTGTACTCGGACTGATTCCCAGGCTGGCGGCCATCTCACACCAACCTCCTGCTCTTCTAACTGCAGTCTCAGGATTCTCTACTCTCGACTGTACTCGGACTGATTCCCAGGCTGGCGGCCATCTCACACCAACCTCCTGCTCTTCTAACTGCAGTCTCAGGATTCTCTACTCTCGACTGTACTCGGACTGATTCCCAGGCTGGCGGCCATCTCACACCAACCTCCTGCTCTTCTAACTGCAGTCTCAGGATTCTCTACTCTCGACTGTACTTGGACTGATTCCCAGGCTGGCGGCCATCTTACACCAACCTCCTACTCTTCTAACTGCAGTCTCAGGGCTCTCTACTCTCGACTGCACTGGGACTGATTCCCAGGCTGGCGGCCATCTTACACCAACCTCCTACTCTTCTGGCTGACAGAACTCGCAAGACATATCCCGCTTATAACATCTCGGCATGGATCGTGTAAAAACACCACTCATCTTTAGTTCAATTTTGCCTAGCAACGCCCGCTATCTCGTGGTCGCCGCCTAGCAACGGCCCCACATGCCGGACTAAGTCTACATGACTTACTTATGGGCGGTTATGTAATTGCGACAGTACAGTGATTCAAAATACACTGACTACATAGCAACTACGTGTTTGTAGGTTCATAGAAAGGAAACGTAGCATTATTGTGTCACCAAGGTTCAGCTCTGAGAGGGACACATTTACTTCTATTTGCCTTTAAAAGAACACACCAAAAGGTCAGTATTTCTAAAATAAGTGACAGGGACTCACAAGGCTTGTACGCCGGAGTGGAGGTTGTTGGGCACGTCTAGTAGGCCGGCTCCTTTGCACCTGCATTCCGCCATCTCTTCCCCCTCGTCCGCTGTTGTGTTCCAGCAGTCGCACCACCAGAATTCGCCACTGAACGTCATAGCTGCTTGTTCGTCTTTCGCACGTATTGTGGCGCTCCAATCGCTCGTCATGGCTGCCATTCCGTGAACCAAGATACACATCACGGCCATGTGGAGCATTCTCTGTGGACAGATGTCAATTGATAGAATTTTATAGCACAAAGCCCTTTAAAATTTCATCGGTAATTTGTCATATGCAAACACTGAAAGCCCTAATATCAATTACTTGAAAAGTTCTGGAAAGGTACTTTATACAGGTAATACTCCTGACATAGGAACACGATGGAGGTGAGTGAAGAGTCTGGCGCCTCGGGGTCTTTACCCCCACGAAAAAGAAACATAGGTACCCATTGGATAGGAGGCTGGGAGTGCCCCAGATTTCACCTTGAAAATGTGGAAAACAGAAAATTTTCTTGCCTCTGCCGGGAATTGAACCTCTGTCGTCCAGCCTGTAGCCCATCGCTATACAGACTGAGTCATCCAGGCTCACAACGCAGTAACCGTGCGTAATAATTAATGATTCTAGCTGGAGGAACTACTGTCAGCAGAGGTTTTCTATAAAAACAAATTTCTTCAGAACTATTCAACGTCTTTTCCTGAACTGGAAAAACAGAGCCACAGTTTTGACACTATTTAGCGCGCAATTTAGCAACACATATATGTTGCATTTGAGGTACTCTTAACGGTGATCCTGAAAATGGAGGCAATATTTTCATCCGAAACTTCGATTAATTCTACCGGACTACATGGCGTCATATCCCAGAAGATTATAATTTTCATGTATATATTGTACACGTATACATTGCTTTCAGTCACAACTTGATCACCTTTAACAATAGATGGATGAGTGATTTGGCCTTCAGGTGTAAAATAGACCCTGTCAGACCTTTTACGGGTATACAATTCATGAACAAATACTTTTTTCCACATTACCGGTACCAACTCGATTTTCTTCCCAGGTGCATTTGCAATGTGGCCTCGTATTGATATGCATCTGCTCTGAATTATCTCAAATGCAACAAAATGGTGGAGCCTCCGATACCAAGCTGCAGTTTCCACAGATAACCCTTCCACTGATGTGCTATTATATAATCATATATACACTCATATATTACATGGCAATTTTACTGAATGTGCACGCTGTGAACAATGGAGTAAGTTTTTGTGGCCAAAGGTCGAGTCTGCAAGACGTACAGCAGTCTCCCTGTCACCTGCAACTACTAACAACAATAATGTCTATATTCAGCTGGAGGGACTTAGTAAAAGTAAGAAAATCCTTAGTACATTCGGTGAACCTGCCGAGATTCGAGACATCTCTCTAATATAAACGTAGATTATGTACCTCGGAATGACACTTGACGCCAAACTCCGATGGAAGGAGCATATTAAGAAGAAGCAAGAGGAACTGCAAATCAAATTTCGAAAAATGAACTGGCTGATCGGACGTCATGTACAAGCTGCTCCTGTATAAACAAATGCTGCGACCAGTCTGGACATATGGCGTCCAACTATGGGGATGTGCGAAAAAATGCAACATCGAAGTAATCCAAGGATACCAGAACAAAGTACTAAGACGCATAGCAGATGCGCCCTGGTATATACGCAACAGGGACCTCCATCGAGACCTCAGTGTCGAAACAGTCGCATCCATTACTGCAAGATACGCCACCTGACACGAAAACCGACTTCGACAGCACGTCAATGAAGAAGCGTCCAGGCCCCTAAATGTGGGAAACCTAACCAGGCGACCCAGACGGACCAAACCTTACGAACTAGCCAAGCAGCCCGACAGCTAAGGGATCCGATGGGCGAACTTAACTTCATATAATCTTAGTAACTTAGTGTCAAATTAAAACATATTGTTAGTTCAAGCGAACTAGTCTTTGTAACGTTTTGCTTACATCTTGTTGCAGCCAATAAAAATAATAAAAAAAACCCCCTAGATTATTACCACTACACGAATCTGCACCGAAAGGTATGAAAATTCACAGAGGAAACAGTAGTAAAAGTTGTTCCTGTGCTTAATTAATTAAGAATGATTAAATTAAGACATACGGGGCAAAGGAGATATAGCTCAAACTTTCTTGAACTTGGTATCAGTTGGAGGTGACTTTTCAGCTTCCGGCACCTGCCGCATAATCCCCTGAGAAGAAGCCCCTGTTACCCATTGGGTAGGTGGCTGGGTGGGCCCCAGGACGGTCTAGACGCAGTAGAGAAGAGAAAGAACTTGCCCCTGCCGGCCCCTCCACTGCGCCGCTAAACAGACTGAGCTACTCGGAGAAAACCCGCCCTAATGACATGCCCACAACAAAATTCCCATGGCCTCACCTGGGACTGAAATATAACTATAATTTCTTATCAACCACTCTTCTTGCTGACTGCACCTTCCAGTCGTGGCGGCGACTCCAGAAGAGGCTGCACTTCTGTCCGGTTAGCGCGATAGCTAGTGAAGAGGTGCAGTGTCGGGCCGTAAGGTCCAGTTAACTACAACATGGCACAGAAACAGACCACGCTGGCAGCACCTCGCAATGAATGCAACTGGTTCGGCCCAACCAACCAGGCCGTGGAAGTACACAGGGTTGTGAGACGTCGAGGCTCCCTAATTTTCTAGACGGTCGGTTCAGAGATAGAGGTAAGGTTAAGTACAGATATCCCTGTAACAAGCCGTGAAGGTCGCGCCATAGCTCAAGCGGTTAGTCGCTGGTTTCCCACCGCGGCGGGTTTTCTCCGAGTACTTCGGTTTCCCCTGCCAATCTTCATTCCACCAAATTCTCCATCATCATAATTACCAGGGGCACGCCACAATAGGCGAATCAGTGGTCGCCGTGCCGAGTGGGCCCAGTTGGACACCACCCCCCACTAGCGAATTTTAACAAGCCATGAAGGACCACAGGGGATGTGAGACGTCGAGGCTCCCACATTTACTAGAAAATTGCCTCACAGATGGCTGCTAGGTTAAGTAAAACTATCCCTGTAACAGGCCGTGGAGGACCACTGGTTTGCGAGACGTCGAGCCTGTCATATTTTCTAGACAGTCGGCTCGCAGATGGCGGTGAGGTTGTCAGCCTTACTCGCCGGCCGCCCTTTACCCACAAGAAAATTCCTGGTATTTACTTCTGTTAGAGGCTGAGTCGATCCCAGGGCAAACGTGTGTCCCGAAGAATTAGGTCAACTGAAAAATTCAATAACCTCATTGGGAATCGAACCCGCGACCTTCCAGCTGTAGCATAGTGCCTCAGCCAACTACGCTACTGCATTCCCCATGTCCATTTACTTTATTCATTTAAATAAACTGCAATAATGTTGGCTCTGACCTTCTCACTGTAGTACAAGCTCGTGGCTTTTGGGCACGTGACAGACTTCACATTCGCACTGTTGCCTTACTCTGTTTCTCCCTGCCTTCCCTTTACGTTTGAGAGGTTCAATAAGAGCCATTTGTTGTCCACTCTCTCTGCTCCATAGAAGGCCAGCCCCTACTTTACGCTGCCCTCATTGCTTTCATTGTTTCGGTCACGGCCACTTGCCTTCCGCTTCCTGCATTCCTAAAATTGTCTTTCCCACGTTTGCCCTGAAGATGGAGGCAGCAGGTTTACAAGAAAAACTGATAACTTTCTACCATAGAACACGGCGTCATTTCAGAATACTGTAAATTTCAATTGTAACCAGGTTGAACTCCTTTCATGATAAGGATTTCACTGATTATGGTGTTATCATTTCCATTAGGTGAGGAATTTCGCTTGGGGTGGGGTGAGACCGAGTCCACTTGGCACGTCGGCCAATAACTGGCCTACTGTACCAGCCCTGGATGACAGGTAAGTATGGAGTACCTGGTGGAATGAGAATTTGCAGGAAACCGAAGTACTCGGGGAAACCCGTCCCAGTGCCACTTTGTCCACCACATGGAGTGGGATTGAACCCGGGTCACCGCTGTGGGAAGCCAGTCACTACCGCCTGAGCTATGGCACTGTCTAGGTAGAGGGTTGGTTAGCGGTTATTGGGACTTTCATAAGGGAGATGTATTTCCCAATTACGGTCTTAAGACCGTATAAAGAGATGGGGTGAAAATGTCTTTAAGTAGGTCATGACCTCCTTAACAAGTTGAAGCAGATATTTCAGCAAAATAAACAAAAATTAACAGCTCAATTAGCGACTGACTACGGGCTGGACAACCGAGGGCTCTGAGTTCAAGTCCCGGCAGGGTAAAAATGTTCCCTTCTCCACGTAGTCCAGATCGGCTCTGCGGTCCACCCAGCCTCCTATTCAGTGGGTACCGGGAGGTATATCCCGGGTGCTAAAGCGGTCGGGGTGTGAACCTGACCACTCACCTCCGTCTAGTGCCGAGTCTAGTGGATCTATACATCCACTCACCCATACGTCTTCATGGCGTAGTGCTTAATTGGGTAAGCACCTGGACAACTCACTATACCTTTCTGTAATTCCTAACGGTCCGGAACCAGAGTCCCTGGTTTCATTGAGCTGCAGCTTGCGATCTACGGATCATTTGTCCAGAAGACGGAGTCTAACGACAGGAACAGCCATCAGGTTCTTCTGCAGGTAAGGCTTACACACTTGTATTTCGGAGGTAATCGTTTCGCATCACAACGGGGATACCAGGTAAACTAACTCATGGTTTTCGTGGTTTTCCTCAGTCCCGATTGCCGGTATAGGCCACTATCGCTTGCTCATACCTCCATTCCAATTCATCACTCATCTATCATCCTACCTTCAAACGCAATATAATCTCGAAACCAAAGGGGGAAAAGGAATTCTACTAAAACGAAGGTGCAGGAATGGCCCAAATGAAGGGTTACCGGCCGGAACTGTAGCCAGAGATGGGAACTGTCAAATTTTATTGTCGAATATGCAACGAGCATTCCGCCGCTAGGGTCCACAGATTTAGACCTTATTATCTAACTTCATGGAGCTGAGACCTTTTTGAGAAGCCGACAGCTGTGGAGCTATACAGCAACTTTCCAAAATTTTACGGAACCCGGAAGTTCATTACCGTGTTCACAAGAACCTTCCAGTGGTCCGGATCCTTAGCAAGGTCAATCCAGTCCATACCACCACATCCTATATCCCTAACATCCGTTTTAATATTATCCAGCCACCTAAATCTTGGT